GTGGGGGCATTCCTCCTCCTCTTCTTCCAAGTTTCCGATCTCCCTCTTCTTGCCGAGGGGGATGGTGTTTGGATTCACCCAGGCATTTACCTTCGTATGGTTCCCTCGGGGAGGTCCCTGATGAGAAGGTCCCTCCTGCCGAGGGCTCTGGACAAACTGGGACAGGTGCCCTGCCTGTATTAATCTCTCGATGGCCGTCTTCAGCTGATGGCAGTCATCGGTCCTGTGCCCCAGGTGCCGATGGAAGCGACAGTAGGGGAACTGAGGGTTGATAGCGTGTACCTCCGGGGGTGCGCGAGAGTCGCGCTCAACGAGGCCCCTCTCCTCGGCAAAATCGAGGATGATGCTGACGGGGTGCGTCAATGGTGTCCGAGGGCGGTCCAGGAGAATGGGCTGGGCCCAAGTCTTAGGGTTGCTCTTATAACCTCCCCCGGGCTTGGCTTGGCCTTGCCGAGGGCGGTCATCGGAGGGTCCCGAAGTCTTGGGGCGATTTGGAGGAGCCCCCGGCCCTCGGTTATGCTTGTTGTCAGCCCTCGGGGGCTGCTGGTCCGGGTGTTGGTGATACTTCTCCACCTCCTCGGCCTCAGCATACCGGTCCCCCCGCTGCAAGGCCCTTATGTAGTCGCGGGGGGGTTCAATGATGAGGCTCCTTGAAAAGTTGCCGGTGCGGAGGACGGTTTGTAGGAGGGCCAGGAGGGTCCCGTCATCAGCACCGTCGACCTTGTCGGCCTCCGTCCTCCAGCGCTCTAGGAAATCCCAAAGGGTCTCATCCTTCTTCTGGCGTATTGTTAGGAGGTGGGAGAAGTGTTTCCTTGTGCGACGCCTCCCGGCGAATTGTGTCAAGAATCGTTGGGCGAGTTCTTGCCACGAATCAATGCAGCCCTCGGGCAGCCTGTTGAACCATTCGTATGCTGGTCCCTCTAAGGTGGAGAGGAACCAACGACACAAATATTCGTCTGACGCCCCCACCATCATCATGTTGTTCTAGTATTTGCTGTAATGTTCCTGGGGGTCCGTTTTCCCGCTGTAGGGATGTATGTGTTGCCCTCGGTATTTCTCCGGGATCCGGGCCGCCAATACCCTTGGGGTAAATGGCGTCCGAGTTCGGAGCTGGATGACGGGTTCCCCGGAGCCCTCGGCCACCTTCTTCTGTAACTCCTCCATTTTGGCCATCATGGCCTCGTATTTGAGATCTGAGTGAGGGGTGGAGGTGGTGGCGTGAGCTTTGTTGGACTCCATTTCGTCAAGCCGGCGCTGGAGGGCCGCAATAATCTCGTCCCGGGGGTCCCTCGGGAGGGTCTCCGCCCCCTGCGAACGAACCCGGGCCGAGTGGGCCTGGTTGATTTGGTGCCGAGCATCATCGGCATGAAGGGGTGCCTTGCCTTTGTCCCGAGGGGGACGCTCCTCGTCTGCCCTCGAAACAGATCCCCCGCTTTCCTGGGGCCTTTGGAGTGCTTTCCCCCCGAGGCGGTCTTGGACCCCTCGGCGGTCTGGCCCTCCTCCGAGCCGGTTGAGGGCGGAAGTACGGGGCCTCTCCCTGTTGTCATTATGGCGGTCCCGGGACTGAACTTCCTGGGAGGATGTTTCTTGGGCCACCACCCCTTCGTCGTTTCTCACCCGAGGGGTGGGATTTCCGAAGGGGTGTGGCAGAGGGGGAAGTATGATATTTTCCCCGATCTGAGGGTGAGCTGGAGCCAGGGTGCCGAAGGCACCCGGGTTCTGGGTGAGCGTTTGGATGAAGGCGGAGAGCGCCGATTGTACGTCGATGGTGAGAACCGGAGGGCTGACTTGGTCATCGCTCCGGTTTTTCTTCTTGGCCTCGATGCCGAGGCAGGCATCGGGGGCGTTTTGTTGGATCTAAAGGCGTAGGTCGACAGCCGCCTGTTCCAGCCCAGCGAGGACACCGCCCTCGGGAGCCCTGTGAGAGGCTTCGGGGGCGTTGACGTCGCCGAGGGGCAGGTTCTTGTCTTCTACGTTCTTTGAGTTGGCACGCGTTGTCCTCACCATTTTGATAGAGGGCTAGTGTTTTGTGTTTGGTCGAGGGGGAGGGTTTCTTACTCGATTGTTCAACCTCTCAACGAGAGCACCAAATGATGGACAGTCTACCCGGGGGTATATATCCGAAGGGTTATTACGGGGAATAACTTAGAGAGAAGTCAGAGCAAACAAGTAAGAGAGAGAGTGTATATTCGATATATATTAAGCGTGGTTACAAATGGGGAAATGGGGTGCTATTTATAGTAGCAATAAATGCCGGGCAGGGACACGTGTCAAGCGCTCATTGGCCGAGGGGTCACCTCAACTGGTTGGCGCTAGCAGCCGCATGTGGCCGCATTTAATGCGGCTGTTGGATGGGACGTCTGTGCGGGGTACGGTGATCTGTACGCATGTGAGGCGGATATCTTGTCGAGTGAGATGCCTTCGGCCATAGAGCAGTAGCCGAGGGCTCTTCCACCCGATGGCACCCTGGTGCCGAGGGCTCACAGTGCCGAGGGCTGATGTTTTCGCCATTTTCTCCCAGTTTCTTAGTTTGCTTGAGAAACCCGTTCTGTGAGAATTTAGAGCCTTCGGTCGGGGGGGCGAAGGCACCCCTGGCGCGTAGTGCGAGCTGCTTGGTACTCTGGGCGCTGTGATTTGGGCCTGTTGGGCCTTTTGGGCCTGTTGGGCCTTTCCTGGAGTAGTAGGAGTCTGTGGGCCGGGGGTTCCCGGGCCATATACTCCATCAGGCGGCTCCCTCCAAGCTGTTAACCCGTTCGTCATTCGGTCATCCGGAATGATCCCGCGTGTTAACAAGCTGATGTGAGACTCTCTGAAAGTAGTGCCTCCCTGGACGACAAATTCATCTTACCGAACGTCGCTCACTTTGACAATACTTGTTCTGACACTATTCCCAAGCCGTTTTGATCCCTTTATCGTTCGTATTGAAATTCCGGAAGGTATAATAACGGCTTTGTTCGGACCTGGATTTAGCTTTGTCTGTAATACTGAATAGCTTTTTGGAACAAAATGGATTCAATGAGATTTATTAGTCAAACAGGTAAAATCAATTCGGTTAAGCTTATATTTTTCAATTTAGTATGTTTGTGATATCATTCTTAATTGTTGATTTACTATGTGATATTTGATACTGAAATTGTATCGAGAAATAATGTACACCACTAAGCAAGATTTGCTTAGCGCGTTGGATTTTTGTCCTTCGCGTAGGTACCTAATCAATATGAGACACAAAGTTGAAGGAGGAAAGCATTTGGGAGCAACCTGCCAATCAGCACAGAGTCACACTTGCATTTAGTAATATCTCATGCTAGTTTGCATAAAAAAAATCTGTATTTAGCATATTAGTATTATGTAATAGCAACATTAAATATTTACGTGTTAGTATAAAATTTGAATGCTTCCGCAATTATGATTTTTCATAAAGTTATTATGAAAAAGATAATGGAATAATTTTAAAATAAGATTGACTTGCTCATAATTTTAAAATAAAAATATTTTTGGAATGATGAAAAAGATAATGGAAAAGTCAGTCAACGCTTTGGTGCTCCGGCACTGCGGGTAGCGCTCCCTGCTCTAGCCTTCCGGGCCGGGTAGGGGGTGTTACATAACTGCAGGCGTAATAGGCTCAGTAGCTCTTCTTTTCACACCTTGACTTGCACTTTGCTCTTCATTTGCCTAATACATGAAACATATAAGTAAATTCTTAACATAACAAACATACTTTACAACTGACATTAACACTTACACATGAATCTTTATTTGGACATTTATCCCTTTTATGTCCCTCTTTATGACAGAGGCCACAAGTTTGAACTTGCCCTCTTCTTGATGGTTTCTGAGGTGTGACAGGTTGTTGGTTTGAATGACTTGAAGATGGTTTGCCCTCATTGGATGACCTCACCCTGTTTTTTTAGGTCTGCCTGGTAAGTTTGGAACTGGGGGAGGTTCAATTGGTTCATAGTCGTCCACCTTCATGAAAACTTTACCTGGAATCGGTTGCAAATAATGCTGATATGCTGCCTTGTATGTTGTTTTATGATACCACCTGGAAATGAATGACATGGGATCTAACTTCTTATGGTACAAAGCACATATGGAGTGTAGACATGGTATTCCTGTAAGTTCCCATGCCCTACAAGTTCAGACCAACTTATCCAAAACAACAAAGTGTTTGTCGGCTCCCTCACCTATCTCAAACCCCATATCACCATTGAATATTATAGTGCATCCTGTTGCAGCCTCCTTGTTGTCTTGATAGTATTCCATGCATGTGGGAGACCATTCATTTATCCATTTCTCTTGACTGTCTTGGAATTCAGATATCCTTTTCATTGCCTTCAACCTTATGTCTTCTAGCATGCTAACAATAGGTTTTGTTCTTGCTTCCCGGATCCATGAGTTGAAGGACTCAGTTATATTATTATCAACCATCCAACACTGACTTTTGTTACTAAAATAAGCACGACACCATGTGTGGATTGGATACTTCAAAACATCAGAGGCTGCTTCTTGACTTAATTTTCCTAACTTTTTCAAGTTCTTTTCCAACTCTTCTTCATATGTGCTCCATGCACAGATCTAGAATTTCTTACAAAATTGATCTCCTCTCCATTTCTTGGACCAGTTAGCATAAACATGCCTAGCACAATACATGTGTTCTGCATCAGCTATAATCTCTAAAGCTGCACTTATTAAACCCTTTTGCCACTAGTGGAAAATAAGGATTTAATAACGGTTAAAACAGACTTTTAATAACGGTTCCAAACCGTTATTGTAGCAGCACATATTAAAAGTCCGGTACATTTAATAAGGGTTCATATAACCGTTACGAAAGATATTCCATAACGGGTGACGCAGAATCGTTATTGAAACTTTCGATATCGGCTAAATATTAACCGTTATTGTATGTCTTCTACATGGGATTAAATAAACCCATAAGAAATGAATTCCTTCACATAAAACCTAATTTATACTATGTTGTTTCCAAATATTACTAGTTTACACATCATCAAAATAACATTTATCATATAACAACAAACACATTTCATTAATCATAACTAACAATAATCCACAATTTACATCAATATTGAGTAAATCCAAAAATATTCATCAAAAACTATCTATGAGCTCACATCACTCAACAAAACTAACAATGAGTTCACAACGCTCAACAAAAAAAACTAGCTATGAGTTCACAAGACATACTACTAAATTAATACTATATGCTATAAAAATTATATCAAATCTTCGTAGCATCGCAGCAAAATGATGCCCAGTGCTTCTGTGCCTCATTGATTTTGATTTCTTGCTCAATGATGAATCTTGAATGTTGAATGCCTTCAAGTTATTAAATAATGAAAGTAAATGAATAAGTACAAAAAACTGAAGCAAAAGAAATAACACAGTAACAATAAAAATGAAAAGTATATGTGAGAAAAACAATCAAACAAAAGCTAAAGCTTATCACATTCATAATCATTTTTTGTAATCTTAGAAGATTTTCATATTCTACCACTTCTCTCGTTACTTCTTAAAATAAAAAGGCAATGGAGCAAACACACAGATATTGAGTGGTTCACAGAGGCTTAAATCATTAAATCTAGTTATGTGGTGTTTAAAAGAAAGAGTTCAGCACTTAAATCTAAACTTTTTAACTTTTCCAGTAAACTTCAAGTTCAATAGTCCAATCCCCACAAAGTAGAAGTGCAATAGAACCATATTCAAGTATATCTAGAATACTCAAAAAGCACACTTGTTTATGGATTTGAAGACATTGAAATAACAAATAAGAGTACCAAGTCTGACATATTTAATAAGAAATATGAGTTTCAAATCATGAGTTTTTTTGCCAGCAAATCAATGATCATCCCGTAAATACGAAAATGTAAATGTGGCACACAGACCAATTTCTTTGACAGTCATCAATTGCAACAAAGTCAACCATCAAGGACTAAATGACAAGAAAGAGTTCCTCTGAACCCAAACATCAGAGCAACACTTACTAATGGACCCTGGCAACTCTTAACAAAAACTGTGAAACCATTTCACGAGATACGAAGACAAATAATGGAAGCAAAGTAGACAAATAATGGAAGTAAAGTAGCCCTTTTTCACACCTTGTTCATAAAAGGCTCATATGGCATATGAAGAGGTGGGTGGAAGTGTGGGACTTAGGCACTCACCTAATATACTTCATAATAGAGTAACCAAAAAACCAATGAAACGAAAGTAGTAGAGCTGTACAAAACTACAAATCAGATGAATTCACCATGTGGTGGTTGGCGAATGAACCGCCACTTTCTACGAACTTCGCCACTGCAAATTCCAAACCTTGAATTGGCCTGACATAAATGGGACGGCCCAATTCTGAAAAGCTTGGGATGTAAAAACACAAGAGTTGAGTATTGGAAAACATTTATATCATTCTATCTTAAAGTAAGTCTGGATCTCATAAAATGAGAGAAAACGGGGGTAGTTGCTAAAGACAGTTGTTTTCTCGTGTGTTTTTTTTTTGGAAAATGCGAAGTCAAATATGACTAGTACTTTTTTCAAAAACTGATTCTTATTTTTATTTTAATATAATACATATGAATGGATAAGTACATAAATAAACAAAATGGGTGTCTAAATAAAGTACTTATTACAGGGTAATCTTTATAGTAGTCCTGCGAAGGGTATTGAACTATTAGTTAAGTGCACTCTAGTCTCTATTTATAAATAAATGTACTCCACAAAACTACACCACCGTTTTTTCAAGATGCTTGATGAGTATCCTCATGTGCTTAATCCTTCAAAAAACATTTAATGAAGATAAAAAAGAGCAATCTACTGCTTGAAATTAAAGAACTGGGTTTGAAGATGCACTGATAAAGTTGTGGAAAGGAAAAGACCGAGATGTACCTTAGAGAGCATAATTGGAGAACCCCGAGACTCGTAGAGATCGAGGCTCTTCATCGGGTTTACAACTTTCTCAGTAAAACCTTCCATGGTAACCTGCCAGGTAGTAAACGAAGTGAATAATTTAACCCACAACAGCAGGGAATATTTTAAGCCACAGAAACTATTGAACTGCATAGAGGAAAACAGAGTAGGGAAAAATGGCAGGGACGAAAAAGACCTCAAAGGACTCATTATCTGGTCTGAAGCTAGTTCACCTAACAAGCAATGAAGGTCTCATTATCTGCTCTGGAGCATTTAAGAAGACATTTCCAGAAACGAGCTGATTGAAGAAGAAAAACTAAAGTAGTTACAGAGGAATGGCTTATACCATTATCTTTAAGCTAATTTCAGGAATAAGCGCATTTCATTTTTCATTGTGATTTTTTCTTAGTATTCTAATTCAAAGAAAACTCCCTCTGAACCAGCACAACGACTTCAAGTATCATGTATGTAACGACACAAGAAAAGTAGCTAAGACAAACATGTTTTTATCTCAAGCACATATTAATCATTTAGTTATGTACCTCGTTTCACAATATCAAATTACAACTACTTCAGAAGTATTTACAATCATGAGAAGATACAAAACAATGTGCTCAAACTTCTACCAGACTTGTAATTTATTATGTTAGTATGAGCGATAGACATTGGAAAAGTAGTCAACATGGCAGTTGTCAACTAGAAACTAAAGAAATAGCTATTGAAATTTTGTTGACACTTTTTTACAAACACTTAATAGACATCGGAAAACTAAAAAATAAGAAATAAAGTCATTGATGCTTATCTTAAATTGAATTCAATTGAAGAAACCTGAAAAATATAATTACCAATCAACAGTGCTATGCATTTAGTTTTTTAGGTTCTATGAGATGGAGTGAAGTGTATTTCATTAGAATATACTCTATTTTACATACATTTATAATTTCATATGTAAGACACATTTACAAATTATACATAACATTATTTATAGTTTTTTTTTTGGTAAATATATTAGCACTACCAAAGTCATTAGTATTTTCTTGGCAATGACCGCAATATAACTTGCCCTAAAACCTTAGCAACCCGGGATCCAGCAGCTTAAACCATCATAAAAGATAACTATGAGTTGAAAACAAGGTGAAGTCAAAATTCAGAAATAATGAATGTGTCATTTGAGCGAATTCATTTTCTATTGGTAAAGCATGTACCTTTGTAGAAGTTGAAACACTTTTTTCACACATATTAGCATACTTCACTTTCATAGCACTTTTTATTCCTGTCATATATAGAAAACTGGGGTAAGGAAAACATATTCATGAAGACCTATTATAATTTCAATATGATTAAAATTCCAAATATGCTCATATATAGAGCTCTGAGCTAAACGAGAAGTATAGTACATGTCTATGAGTCATGGGATCCTATACTTGTTGGCAAGGTATTAAATCTATTAACCTCCAAATCTATTAAGTCTTTTCTAACTTCCAAATCCAAATCCAGATCCTAGCAAGGTATTAACCTCATCAAGTAATTATTTAAACTATTAAATCAACTACCATGCTCAAATAGCGTACTAATCTTTTCTAACTTCCAAATCAAGTTGAAATCAAATGTTCAGTTGAAATAAGTTTTAAATATATGAAACAAGTAAGATAAGAATCACATAAGGGTACAACAACAATTTACTTGTTCATCTTGTGAGGTTAAATGAGATGCTTTCAATGTGTGACATGCTTTCTTGTTGATTCATAAGAAAATATCACTGAGACATTTTTACAAACACATCATTGACATTACACAACTAGAATGTTACAAGCTAACTTTCATTTTTTTTAATTCCACGACTAAATGTTTCATTTGAATATCTCAATCAGAAAGTTTTACAAACCTCAGTTTCGCTAAGAATACACAAATGTATAAATAAACATTTTAATACTCATCTCAAATTTAAGGCTAATAAACAAACTCAAACTGTAAGTTTACAAATATTTAATATCTTTGGAAAATGCGCATTTTACCTAGAGATGCTGGAGATAAATAAGGCTAAAGAGAGGTGATAAAGGTGATGGACAGCCACATCATGGAATTGCTGGTGATGAGAGAGTGACAATTAGAGCTGGATGAGCGGCGCATAAGGAGCGGCGCATAAGGAGCGGCACATAAGGAGCGGCGCTGGAGGAGCGGCAGAGCTTCATGCGGCTAGCTCCGTCTGTGTATGAAGTATTCCGGCGATGCAGAGCAGTGCGTCCCTTCGCCGCCGGTTGATACAGAACCATCGTATTCATCCGTCCCTTCGTCGTCAGTTGATGCAGAGCCATTGTCTTCGTGTGTCGAGCGTTAATGGACAACAACAAAGCAGTCGTCTTCGTGGGTGGGTCTGATTTGCTGATTGTTAATCGAGAGAGCTGAAGCAATTGGAAACCCTAGCCTACTCCTGTTTTAATAAAGCGTATGAATAAACTTACGATACCCTTTTCATAAGGGTTAAAATTCACCTGATATTATAAATCATTTTTTTTAATTATAAACGACACCCCATTCGTAAATGAAGTTTATAGAAATTAAAAAACTGACCCCGTTTTAATTAACTATGTCGGTTCTTTTTGTTGGGTGTGTTTCGGAAAATGAAGGAAATTAATTAAAATAAATTAATTAAATAAAATGACTAGAGAAAAACAAGAAAGGAGATGAAGCAGAATTAGTCAAAGCTCGTGCTACGCACGATGTCCTTAAAACGTATTTGGTGCCTCCTACGGTGCTAGGAGCGTTGCAACAATCGTTTCCTAGGATACGATGACTACGAACTAATGTTTGAGCACACAAACAAGAGTTCCAGCGAACGAGAACCAAGTATGAACACAGAAGGAATTTGCAGAGTAGCTGTAGGTGTTTTTTAGCTCAGCAAAACGTGAGGAATGTCTTGTGTGTTGTTTTTGTTGCAAACCACCTGCCAGCTATTTATAGGAGGATTTGTTGTGTGTTAAATGAGGTGTTAATGGACCTGAACGTTGGACATCAATGACCAGTCCGTTGGGCATTGAATCGTCCATAAACTGTCCATTTAACGCAGCATTAAAAGAGAAGAACGTTGGGCATTTATTGTTGTAACGGACCAGAAGACCTTCTGTTGCGAACAGAAGGCCTCGAGCGTCTGTGTTGCGAACAGAAGACCTCGAGCGTCTCTGTTGCGAACAGAAGACCTCGAGCGTCTCTGTTGCGAACAGAAGACCTCGAGGGTCTCTGTTGCGAACATTCGCGTCCGCAGGTCGCCCGCGCACACGAGTCGCGGTTTTTCTTCTCTGTTTCGAGATTTGATCGGCACCCCCCCCCCTGCGCGTAAGAGAGAGCCTTTACCCTTAGGAATCTTAACTCCTTAAAAGAGGCTTCCCTTTGTAAGGGGGTTAAAATCCCTTGAGTTTTTCGGTGTGGGATAAAACACACTAGAAACCCATCATTTCCCCAATTTTTCCATTTCAACGAGTGTACTTCGAGAATCAATTTCTCATTCACTCGTTATCCGTTTTGAGTGTACCATATATCGAATTGTAGTCCTTAACAAGGAAAATCCGAAACCACTTTGACCCGACCCAAATCGGAAGTGGACCCCACTCAAATAATTGCCCCAAAATGACCATTTAATGTAATTTTTAACACATTTTTCCAACAATCCCCCACATGAATGAAAATTGATTTTCGAGACTTAAAAAGACACGAAGATAGGAGGACACGTTGTGTTCACCGGATGATCCTTGCATACGGAGAGGTAGGTTTTATCCTTTGAACCATCCGTTGTAAAGACACGTTTATTTACTGGCTGTCTAGTAGACTCGATGTCCTTGAACTAAACTGTCGTCGTGTAAACATTGACATATCTTTACACAAGAACCTTCCAACTTTGTTCCGTTCTCATGGGTGTGCCCGTTTTGGCCATGGGTCACCGTCCTGGTTCTGCAAGAGTTTCTAAAGAACTGAGCCTTTACAGTTCTCCTTTGAAGCGGCCCTCTTCTCTCTCACATAGGTGATTCTGTCACGAGTATCCCGCATACTCTTCCAATGTTATCGAGTAGATCAACATTTTAGAATCATTAAAGCAAACGTTTTTTGCTAACCTCGTGCGGGAGTCACTGTTTTAACGAGGAGTGGGTAGGAGTCCGGGACCCCCACAGTGACCATCCTTCACTCTATAATTTAGTTGTCCCTTTTGAACCTAGGACCAACTAGGTTGGGTATCCACTATAGAACTTTTCAATTCACGGGCTTTAGTCCCATTCCTCGTGACAACTTCTCCAACAATTCTCTATCCAATGCCTTGGTTAGCGGATCCGCTATGTTATCCTTTGACTTCACGTAGTCAACAGTGATAACACCCGTTGTGAGGAGTTGTTTAATGGTGTTATGTCTACGACGAACGTGTCTAGACTTACCATTGTAGAGATTGCTCTGTGCCCTTCCAATTGCCGCTTGACAATCGCAATGTATGCATATTGGAGGGACAGACTTCTCCCAACTTGGAATATCCTCGAGAAAATGGCGTAACCATTCAGCCTCTTCAGTGCACTTATCCAAGGCTATTAGCTCAGACTCCATCGTGGATCTAGCTATTAACGTTTGTTTTGAGGCTGCACCTCCCAAAGTGAAAACATATCCACTTGTGGACTTAGAGTCCTTTATGTCGGATATCCAACTAGCGTCGATATACCCTTCAAGTACAGCTGGATATCTTCCATAGTGCAGTCCAAGATTTTGGGTTTTACGTAAATACATCAAAACCCTTATTATTGCCTTCCAGTGTTGATCACCGGGGTTGCTAGTATATCTACTTAGCTTACTAACCACAAAGGCAATGTCAGGCCTGGTACAACTCATTAGATACATCAAGCTTCCAATAATCCTAGCGTATTCTACTTGAGAAATACACTCTCCATGATTTTTGGTAAGTTGTACGTTTTTATCTAATGGAGTCCTTGCCTCTTGATAATCATCCTTATTAAATTTCGTAAGGATTTTATCAACGTAATGGGATTGGCTTAGCGTAAGACCGTCAGGTCCTCTAATTGTTTTAATCCCAAGGATTAAATCGGCCAGCCCCATATCCTTCATGTCAAATTTAGAGTTTAACATGTTTTTGGTAGAATTAATCATTAGATTATTGCTACCCACGATGAGTATATCATCCACGTATAAACATAAAATGACATAGCCGTCTACCGTGCTTTTCACATAGACGCATTTGTCACTTTCGTTTATTTTAAAACCATTAATTAACATTGCATGATCGAACTTTTCGTGCCACTGTTTAGGGGCTTGTTTCAATCCGTACAATGATTTAATTAATTTACACACTTTCCTTTCTTGGCCTGGAACACGAAAGCCTTCGGGCTGTTCCATATAGATTTCTTCGTCTATATCGCCATTTAGAAAAGCGGTTTTTACGTCCATTTGATGAACTTCCAATTTCCACAATGCGGCAATTGCTAGTATCATCCTAATGGAATTTATTCTCGTCACAGGAGAATATGTGTCAAAGTAATCATGACCCTCACGTTGCTTGTATCCCTTGATTACAAGTCTGGCCTTATACTTATCGATGGAACCGTCAGGTTTCATTTTCCGTTTAAAAATCCACTTGGATCCCAAAGGTTTATTTCCCGGAGGAAGATCAACCAATTCCCATGTGTGATTTTTAAGGATAGAATCCACCTCACTTTTGATGGCTTCTTTCCACATAGGACCTTCGGTAGATGTCACGGCTTCCGTATAAGTCCGTGGTTCATTTTCTACCAAAATGTTAGAAAATCCGGTTCATTTTCTACCATACATGTTAGAACATTCGAGTCAAATTCTACCAGGTAGGTGAGAAAATCCGGTCCGAAGGATTTTTCAACTCTAGCACATTTGCTACGTCTGGGTTCAGGTTCTTCTCCGGACCCCTCGCTAGTATTTTCCATAGCTACGTCAAATGTTCGTTTTGACGTGCTTGGTCCTTCGTTGGACTTGCATGGAAATACGTCTTCAAAGAATGAAGCATTCCTTGATTCAATTATTGTGTTTTTATGTACATCCGGATTATTCGAATCGTACACTAAAAACCGATAGGCACTACTATTTTGTGCATATCCAATAAAAATACAATCCACCGTTTTTGGACCTATTTTTATTTTCTTAGGTGTTGGTACAAGCACCTTTGCAAGACACCCCCACACTTTTAAATATTGATAGGAAGGCCGTCTACCTTTCCACAACTCGTACGGAGTTGTATCATATTTTTTCCGGGGAACCTTATTTAAAAGGTAATTGCTTGACAAGACTGCTTCGCCCCACATATTTTGTGGCAGGCCCGAACTTACTAGCATCGCGTTCATCATATCTTTCAATGTGCGATTCTTTCGTTCGGCAACACCGTTTGATTGAGGTGAATAGGGTGCGGTACGTTCGTGTACTATACCCACACTAGCGCAAAAGTCACCAATTGGTGCTTCATACTCACCACCTCGATCACTCCTAACCGTCTTAATCCGTCGATTAAGTTGGTTTTCCACTTCATTCTTATAAAGAATGAATTTATCGATTGTTTTGTGTTTATTTTTTAATAAATAAACGTAGCTATAGCGAGTGCTATTATCGATAAAAGTAATAAAATATTTATTACCGCCATGTGTTTGTATTGATTTAAAATCACAAACGTCACTATGAATTAATTCAAGTGGTTCCGTTTTTCTTTCAACCGATTTGAAAGACGTTTTCGTTAGTTTTGCCTCTACACAAACTTCACATTTGTGCTTCACATCAATTGTGAATTTAGGAATGTGCTCCATGTTAATCAATCTATGTATAGAATTAAAATTAACATGTCCTAGTCTACCATGCCACACATTAGAAGACTCAAGCAAGTAAGCAGAAGGGATTTTATTATTATTATTAATAATAGTCATTACATTGAGCTTAAAAAGCCCATCACATGTATATCCCTTGCCCACATACATTCCCGATTTAGACAAAACCAGTTTGTCCGACTCAAAGACCATGCGGAAGCCATGCTTGTTCAACAACGAACCGGAAATCAGGTTTTTGCGTATTTCCGGAACAAACAGCACTTGGTTGAGAGTTAGTTCTTTGCCCGAAGTCATCTTCAGGACCACCTTGCCCACGCCTTCAACCGCGGAATGAGCCGAGTTACCCATCCACACTTTCTCACCATTTGATGGCTCAAAAGTTGTGAATAACTCCCGGTTTGAGCAAATATGTCGGGTTGCACCGGTGTCCACGAACCACTCCTTGGAGTTGGATCCAACGAGGTTGACCTCGGTCACCACATCCGCAAGGATGATATCTTCATCCTTTTGCCCACCTTGCACCAAGTTGACTTGAGAGTCCCTCTTCTTCTTTGGTGCCTTGCAATCCGCGGACCTGTGTCCGTTTTTATTGCAATTGAAGCATTTTCCGTTGAACTTTGTCTTGGAAACGCCTCCCTTGGGACCGAGCTTGCTCTTCCCATTATTCTTGGTTTTGGAGCCTTTTGCATGCTCCACCACGTTTGCCTTGGCGCCATGAACAATTGGAAGTTTCCCATCGTTCTTCCGGTTATCCTCTTCAATCCGCAGACGGAGGATCAATTTCTCCAAGTTCATTTCCTTTCGCTTGTGCTTAAGGTAGTTCTTGAAATCCTTCCAAGCCGGCGGCAATAAATGGATAATTGACGCCACTTGGAAAGACTCACTAACTGTCATTCCTTCATCTCGAATTTCGTTGAAGATCATTTGCATTTCCTCAACTTGACTCAAGACCGTCTTCGAATCCACCATTTTAAAATCAAGGAATCGACCAACAACAAATTTCTTTGCACCGGCATCCTCGCTTTTATATTTGTGGTCCAAAGCATTCCATAGCTCCTTAGCCGTAGCTAGTTTTCTATATACGACGTACAAAGCATCATGCAGCCCGTTCAACACACAGTTTCGGCAAAGGAAGTCCGAATGCTTCCATGCCTCAACCGCGTTGAAAGATTGCGCATCCACCTCACCCCCGGTTGCTACCGGCGCATCCTCGGTCAAGAACCTCGCAAGACCGAGAGTAGTGAGATAGAAGAGCATCTGTTGCTGCCACCTCTTGAAGTTTAACCCATTGAATTTCTCGGGTTTCTCCACAGAGTTGCTTGGCACGGTCACCATAGGGATAGCCCTTTGGTTGGCCAAAGTAGATGCACCGCGTTGTGAACCATTGTTCACCGGTGCTCCATTTCAGAGTGATTGTCGTTCAGAACATTCTGCCCAACACCAATCTCGTTTTCTTGAGAAGTCATTTTCGTTCTTTAACGTTTTTCCGAAAACACAAAAAAAAAAGTTCATTCACCAAAGTGACAAACTACAATATAAGATTGTTTACCACAATAGAACAATCAGCAAATACGTTTTAAGATTGTTGCGTGTGTTTCGGAAAATGAAGGAAATTAATTAAATAAAATGACTAGAGAAAAACAAGAAAGGAGATGAAGCAGAATTAGTCAAAGCTCGTGCTACGCATGATGTCCTTAAAACGTATTTGTTGCCTCCCACGGTGCTAGGAGCGTTGCAACAATCGTTTCCCAGGATACGATGACTACGAACTAATGTTTGAGCACACAAACAAGAGTTCAAGTGAACGAGAACCAAGTATGAACACAGAAGGAATTTACAGAGTAGCTGTAGGTATGTTTTAGCTCAGCAAAACGTGAGGAATGTCTTGTGTGTTGTTTTTGTTGCAAACCACCTGCCAGCTATTTATAGGAGGATTTGTTGTGTGTTAAATGGGGTGTTAATGGACCTGAACGTTGGACATCAATGACCAGTCCGTTGGGCATTGAATCGTCCATAAACTGTCCATTTAACGCAGCATTAAAAGAGAAGAACGTTGGGCATTTATTGTTGTAACGGACCAGAAGACCTTCGAGCGTCTCTGTTGCGGACAGAACTCGACCCCTTCTGTCACTGGGAAAAATAAAACGTTACGGGAAGAAACAAAAATTAGACCGTATCTTTGAATGATAGGTTTTCGGACGACATTCGTGTCCGCAGGTCGCCCGCGCACACGAGTCGCGGTTTTTCTTCTCCGTTTCGGGATTTGATCGGCACCCCCCTGCGCGTAAGAGAGAGCCTTTACCCTTAGGAATCTTAACTCCTTAAAAGAGGCTTCCCTTTATAAGGGGGTGAAAATCCCTTGAGTTTTTCGGTGTGGGACAAAACACACTAGAAACCCATCATTTTCCTAGTTTTTCCATTTCAACGAGTGTACTTCGAGAATCAATTTCTCATTCACTCGTTATCCGTTTTGAGTGTACCATATATCGAATTGTAGCCCTTAACAAGGACAATCCGAAACCACTTTGACCCGACCCAAATCGGAAGTGGACCCCACTCAAATAATTGCCCCAAAATGACCATTTAATGCAATTTTGACACATTTTTCCAACACTTTTCATACCCGTTATTGATAATTGTTTATATTTACAATATTTACCCCTTGAACTTACTAAAAGTTTCATTAATTAAAAATTTGACCCCGTCCTTATATATTATAACAGTTCTAATTGAAGCTATATTAAAACCTAGTTATAAAGCGTGTATTTTGCACTAGTGTGCATGTCAGAGATTAGGGTTAACTCAGCACCAGTGTGAAGCTCCAGTTCCAGAACCAGCCAAGTGAGAAACCATCTCCAGTTAGACTTGTTTTCTTTGTCTATTAGAGCCCAAGCAATTGGAACCATTTTGCCATCTCCATCCACACCAACTGCACTAAGCAATTTCCCCTTACAAACTCCCTTTAAAAAGCAACCATCAACCCCAATTATTCTTCTGCAACCACCCATCCAGTTTCTCCTCAAAGCATCAAAGCAAATAAACATTCTTTTGAAGACTCTCCTCCCATCTCTGAAGGAGTGATTGCACAGTTCAATTTCAGCTTTAGATTCAGGATTGCTCCTCTTTAAAGTAGCAGCATATGCCTCCAGGTAACCAAACTCTGCTTTATAATTCACATCCAACTCTTGAAGTATAAGCCTCTTTGTCCTCTTGCATTTGTACAAGCTGACATTAATCTTCAGAACTTTCTCAACCTCCTCTTTCATATCAGCACCCCTAAAGTTTGGATTTTTTTTGTAGATGCCCTTTGAAGTAATTGGCTAACCATTTATGAGAAGCACTAGGGATGGAAAAGTGTCTGAAACACTTGTGGCCTAGCTCGCGAACTTTAACTGCCAAACCAGAATTCTTCCCATCTTTAGAAATCCACAATCTGAATGAGCACCCTTCCTCATTCAGACATTTTACAGCCAACCTGTTCTTCTCATTGGGTTTGATTTTAATCTTATAGCCAAATTTGACACCATAATCTGCAATGGCAGTTCTAGCCTCATGGACATCTTCAAATGTCATCCCAATAACAAAGTAACTAGATCCATCTGTGGCAGCGTAATTAACCCTCACTTCTTCATCACTTTCTTCTGCTTCCTCTTCTTCATTGTTACTGTCAGTATCTTCTGCTCCTTCTTCAGGTTCTTCATCAGTCACATAACCATTTGGCACCCCTCTACTCTTGCTTTCAGGGGGAAGTACCCCCTCATTGACTGCTTCAGGGCTTTGGTTACTCACATTCTCACTCTGCTGGTTTTGAACATAAGACCATTCTATTTGGGGAATGAGAAGGGGCTCGTCCAGTTGATGATCAACATACAACTCTATATCATCAATCCAAGAAAAGTTTCTAATGCGGTTCAAAACCTTCCTAATTGTGTCATCATCTTGAATAAAAAACAACCCATTGTCCAAATCTTTTCCGGGCACCAACACATATATGTTTTTTAGTGTTATGAAACCCAATTCCTCTTTATAAGTTCTTTGAATGTCATGAAAGCAGAGAAAGTCAGGATCAAACCTATATATTGTATGGACATCCCCATCAACATATTTCATTTTCGGGTGCAAAATCCACCTCCCACTGTGATTAAACCGCAGGTTGATCAAGTCACCCATTCTTTACAAGAAAAATAAGACAAGTACACTGAATACCTTTAACCGTGACTGTGGATTCCAAAATAATCGACTAAGCAGCCCCTGTCATTCATGTGCGTACGGAAGTAATCAATCTTTTTCTAAGCACACTCAGTTTCAGGCTAAGGATCTTCATGGCAGATAAGTTAGGGTTTTCGTTTTTGTTGGGTAGCATTTAATTGGGGGAAGATGGGGTCTTAACGCCGGTTGGACGACGCGGTTAGAGAGTTGTCAAATGTAACGCAAATACTCGACTTATGTGTTTAAATGATCCATTTTAAACCTGAGTGTCCAATCCGAGATTACTAAATAACTTTAGTGTCATAATTGGTCCTTTTCCCTATTCTAAATTGATAATTTTCCTTGCATGTACGGAGTACCGTATAATATTACAATTTGCCTTCAACGTGCAGCCACGTGTGTAACTATCTCCTCTCGCATCCATATGGCTCCTCCCTAAAAAATTGAAAGAAAGCAAAGCTAAAATTTAATCCGTCGCCTCAACAACAGAGTCTGCCTGCGCAAATATGACTCATTTCCCTGCGATGACATCCAAGAACGTGGCTGTTATCGGCGCCGGGGCTGCTGGATTAGTGGCGGCCCGGGAACTCCGGCGGGAGGGCCACGGCGTCGTGGTTTTTGAGCGGGGAACCCAACTCGGAGGCACCTGGGTGTACTCTTCAACCGTGGAGTCCGACCCGCTGGGAGTTGACCCAGGGCGGGAAGTCGTTCAGTCTAGTCTCTATTTTTCCCTTAGGACTAACCTCCCCCGGGAAGTAATGGGTTTCCTGGATTACCCGTTTGTGGACCGGAGAGGGCCTCGTCGAGATCCGAGACGATTTCCGGGTCACGGGGAAGTTCTAGAATACTTGAAGGATTTCTCCGGCGAATTCGGACTTTGTGAATCGTTGAGGTTAGCAACGGAGGTTAGACACGTGGAGTTGGCTGACAAAGGGAAGTGGGAAATTAGCTCAATGAAAATGAAGAAAGATTATGGCGGAGAGGCGGCGCGTGTGAATGAGGTGTATGATGCCGTGGTGGTCTGCAATGGCCACTTTAAGGCGCCCCGAGTTGCTGACATTCCAGGTCTTTTTTACTATGTCCAAGGGAGTGACTATTTTTTCTTACATACTCCTTAATATTTAATTTACCATTCATAATTACACACAGGGATGGATGTATGGCCGGGGAAGCAAATTCACAGTCATAATTACCGAATCCCTGATGATTTTAAAGATCAAGTATGTGCCTGCAGGTCTTTTTTTCTTCCCAACTACACCTTATATTCATGTATGCTAAATATTGTTCTTGCATTATTAATTCAATATCTACCGCACAAACTCACTTTCTTAATAGTCATAGTCATACCATGTACCAAACTTAGGGGAGTAGTACAAGAGAACATAGTGTCAGGTTTTATGACCGGGCTAAAGGTGTCGGAATAAGCAATCCCCAGGAGTTGATGAAATCCCTTAACCACTAACTGAGTTTTGTAACCATGCAAGGAACCATCCGGCTTGTACTTCACTGTAAAGATCCATTTACAATCCACAATATTCTGACTACACTGAGCTGGAACAAGATTCACTGTGGAACCAAGGCATCAAATTTTGCCGACATAGCATTCCGTCAAACTGGTACCTGCACATCTTGAGAAGCACAAGTGGGAATAATATGTTGATTTAATGAGGGCTTGAGTGACAATATTGGCTTGTTTACGAGATCGAAGAGTCATTGGATGGGTACATGTGGGTAGTGGGTCATTGAGGTGTGGGTAGACATAGTGATATTTGTGGTGGTTGTAGGTGGATGAGGGGGTGGGATAGGATCATAGGAGGATTTTGTTTCGGTCGGCATTGGTAGGTAATAGTTTATGGTGGTGTGGGTCTAGGAGAAACGGTTTAATCGGCTATGAGGGGAGAGATCTGCAGATCACTTTGGTTTGAAGTATTGAATAACGTACCGGGAGATAGTTGTTGAGTCGAGGTATGAGTAGGAGGAGACGCCCACATCACTGTTGTACCTGAAATGGGAAAATAAGAAATGGAAGACTGATGCCAATTATCAACCTCAAAAGTGATGTTTGTGACTGGTTTTGTGGGTTTAGAAAATGAAAGACTGATTCGTCGAACACAACATGCCATGCCTGCTTACAAAGATACAATTAGTGGTAAGATCAAGACAATGATAAGCACTTTGTTGGTTTAGAGCGTAGTTCTAATTTATGAGTTGTATGAGGACGTAACCAAGGGAGACATTGACACTCCAAAATAGCATGTTTGGTATAATGAGGAGGTTGTTCGAAGAGTTTTTAGTACGAAGTGCAAAAGGTAAGTTAGAGTGCAGGTTGTCTGTTAATGAACCACACTAAGAAAGGCATAGGTCCAATATTTAAAAGACATGGAAGCATGGTGAACTAAGGTGATACTTATTTTCCACATTTTTTTAAAAGTTGTTGAAAAACTGAAGTTACTTCAGATTTATGAGTCATGGTGTAAAACCAAATATATTTGGTACAGTGATCTACAAAAATAACATAGTAACTAAAGCCATCAATAGAATTAACACGAGCGGGACCTCAAACATCCGTATAAATTAAGCCTAGAGGTCCAGATCTCGAATTATATCCCTATAAGGTAAGTGATAATACTATCTTAAATGGCAAAGATATTAACGGTTGTAATAACTAATTACAATACTACTATATCTTAATTATAATTTATTGATTTCCTTCTATATTTATATGAACACTTTGGACGTATAATAGCCACTGTACCAAACACATCAAAATATATTAAATTTCTTTCTACCTACCCAACCATGAAACTTAACTTTCTTTTTCATTCCTTCTATATTCCTTTCAGCTTAACAAATGACGTGTAAGAATATTATTACCATTGCTTATCAGTGTGAATTTCAGGTTGTTGTGGTGATAGGAAGTTCAGCCAGTGCTGAAGATATCTCTAGAGAAATAGCTAAAGTTGCTACCGCAGTCCATATTGCTTCGAGGTTATTCCAAAAAAATGGAAGCTTAGGAAAGTTGCCTGGGTATCAAAATGTATGGCTCCACCCGATGGTAAAGTTTCTCCTTCCCTTAAAAGAGATGAAGTGAAACCTGAAAAAAATCTATCTGAATAAACTGCTGCATGGAGTAAACATTGCAGATAGAAGGTCTCGGCACTGATGGTGGGGTGAATTTTAAGGATGGAACTGTAACTCGTGCCGATGCTATCCTACATTGCACTGGGTGCGTCTTGGGTTAATTAGACCTCTTATGTAGGGTGGTCTTCTCTTTACCTTTTGTTTATATTTAGGTATATTATTACCTTTATAAAATAATGTGGTAATGAAGTAGTACTCTGTGTGTCATAAGGTAAGCAATATAAACGAAGTTGAATTTATAATTACATTCTTATAATGAGAGAAATGAACACACCTGCTTTCCATGGATCAGAGTGTTAGATCACATATAGATCACAGATAGTTTCAAGTAGAAAAGTAAGAATGCAATGACAAGGTAGAAGATCGGATAGGAAGGTTTATTCTCCAACTGAACAGCTCACGGGGATACAATGTTCAGGGACTATTCGAGATGTCCAATCTCCAAAAGCCAAGTTCACAATCAAATAACAGCCTACTGACAATCACTTCTATTATTCTATTTATAGTAAAATTATCCACGCAGGGATAAAGTAACCTTTACTAGTTACTTAGCTAATTAACTAACTATCTTCCGGCTCCTCCTTTTATATACTTTATTAAAATACTGAGTGGGCTGCTGAGCTGTGTGTCTATCAATACTTCCCCCCTGAAAATTCACCTTGTCCTCAAGGTGAAAGTCTGGAAATTGCTCTCTCAACACTGATACTAATTCCCAAGAATCTTCAAAACTTGGTAGCCCCTTCCAGTGTATCAGCACCTCAATGTTGCCCTCTTTACTCACTCTGGAGTCCATTATCATCTCTGGTGTTACCTGCAATTCCAGGTCTTCACCCAAACACTTAGGTAAAGGCTGGTAGCATGTGTTTGGTGATAGCACCTTCTTCAGTAGGGAAACATGAAAACCCGGGTGTACTTTACTGTCTTCTGGCAGCTTTAACTTGAAAGCTACTGGGCCTATCTTGTCAACAATCTCAAAAGGCCCATAGAACCTAGGGCTCAACTTTTGGTTTATTCTTTTGGCCAAACTTCTGAGTTTATAAGGCTGAATTTTCAAATAGACCTGATCCCCAATGTTCAATTTTACCTCTCTTCTATGTTTGTCAGCTTGTTGTTTCATCTGGTTCTGAGCAATCTCTAAGTTCTTCTTCAATTCCTCCAACATGATATTCCTTTGGGCTGTTAATCTGGACACTTCTTCTACAGCTGTAAGTGTTGCATCTCCTCTGATAATGGCAGGAGGGTCTTGCCCAAATAAAGCCCTGTAAGGAGTCAGTTTCAGAGATGAATGGTAGTTTGTATTGTACCAGAACTCTGCCCAATGCAACCATTGATTCCACTGTTTTGGTTTTCTGCCAGTGATGCATCTTAAGTAGGTCTCTAGGCACCTGTTGACCACCTCAGTCTGCCCATCAGTCTGAGGGTGGTATGCTGTACTGTATTTCAACTGAGTTCCTGCCAACTTGAATAATTCTGACCAAAAAGAGCTCATGAACAAACTGTCTCTGTCACTTACAATAGTTTTAGGGAAACCATGTAATTTGACCACCTCTTTTGTGAACAATTCAGCTACTTCTTTTGCATTATAGGGGTGAGAGAGGGCCAAAAAATGGGCAGATTTAGTTAATCTGTCAACAATAACCAAGATTGTATCCTTTCCATGAGATTTAGGCAATCCCCCAATGAAATCCATGCTGATATCTGTCCATATGTTGCTGGGAATGGGTAGGGGCTGTAGCAACCCTGCAGGCTTAAGAGCCTGGTATTTGTTGGTTTGGCAGGTAGCACATCCTTCCACATACTTCTTGATGTCAGCCCTCATACCATGCCAATAGAACAAATTGGAGATTCTCTTCATAGTCCTAAAATACCCTGAGTGACCTCCCACTGCCGATTCATGATAGTCCTTCATAATCCTTAATACCCTTGGGGACTCCCTTGGCAACACCAACTTCTTTTTGTAATATAATAACCCCCTTCTAATCTGGAAATCAGGGTACTCATCTGGTTGTGCTATGGCCTTCTGAATCAGGTCCTTGCATTTGCAATCTGAATTCAATTCCTCTTCTAACCCTTCCCACTCTTGGCAGGTGACAATGGATAAGGAGTGTAGTGTCAACTTTCTGGATAGGGCATCTGCAGCCCTATTCTCCTTCCCAGGTTTGTATTTGATGATAAAGTTGTATCCCAGCAATTTTGAAGTCCATTTCTGTTGTTCTTCCCCCATCACTCTCTGTTCAGTCAAGAATTTTAAACTCCTTTGATCAGTATGGATTTCAAAAACTCTGCCCAGTAAGTAAGGTCTCCATTTTTGTACTGCCAAAACAATAGCCATGAGTTCTCTTTCATAAACTGATCTATTCTGATTCCTTTTTGATAATTCCTTGCTCATGTATGAAATTGGTTTTCCTTCTTGCATTAGGACTGCCCCCAGACCTGTCCCATCCCAGATGCATCTGTTTCTAAAATGAACATTTTATTAAAGTCAGGTGTAGCTAACACAGATACTGAAATCATAGCCCTCTTTAATTGTTCAAATGCCTGAGTAGCCTTGTCACCCCAACAAAAGCTGTCTTTTTTCAGAAGTTGTGTAAGAGGTAAGGCAATTTGACTGTACCCTTTTACAAACCTTCTGTAGTAGCCTGTTAACCCTAAGAAGCCTCTCAGTCCCTTCAAATTTCTAGGTTCAGGCCAGTTAACCATGGCTTCAATTTTGGCAGGATCTGCTGACACTCCTTTTCCAGAAATGATGTGCCCCAAATATACCAACTGTGACTGTCCAAAAGAGCATTTTTTTAGATTGTCCACCAACTCATTTTCTTTTAATGCTCTGAAAACCTTCCTCAGATGCCCCTGATGTTCTTCTTCAGTCTTACTATATACCAGAATGTCATCAAAAAATACCAAGGCAAACTGCCTTAAGAAGGGCCTTAACACCTGATTCATGAGAGCCTGGAAGGTGGATGGGGCATTAGTAAGCCCAAAAGGCATAACTAGGTATTCATAGTGCCCCTCATGTGTTCGGAAAGCTGTCTTCTGAATATCTGATTCCTTCATCCGGATCTGATGGTAACCAGACTTGAGGTCTAACTTGGAAAATATAGTAGCTCCTCCTAGCTCATCCAATAACTCCTCAATTATAGGTATAGGGAATTTGTCTGGTATAGTTATCTTATTCAATGCCCTGTAATCACCGCAAAACCTCCAGCCCCCATCCTTTTTCTTAGCTAACAAAATAGGGCTACTGTAAGGACTGTTACTGTGCTGTATAATTCCAGAACTCAGCATCTCCTTAATGATCTTTTCAATCTCTGTTTTCTGATACTGTGGGTACCTGTAGGGTCTAATGTTGGGGATCTCAGCTCCTTCTTTAATGTTGATGGCATGGTTGCAAGCTCGGTTGGGAGGCAAACCCTGTATGGGTCTGGAAACTTCTGGAAACTCAGCCACAATATCCTTCCAGATCTGATCCATCACCTTTTCTCCTTCAACTAGCACTGAACCCCCTTCAGGATATACAATAAATCCATCCCCAGTATCCTGTATTATCTGTGACATGGTTTTCAAGGAAACCTCTATAGAATTTAGTTGGGGGTCTCCTTGTATGCTTTGATCCAACCCCTCTTTTTTCCATTTAATGCTTTGTTTCCGGAAATTTATCTCCACATCTCCCAAGCTGGTTAACCACTCCATTCCCAGAACTAAATCAGTCCCTCCCAAATTCAGAATATAAAATTTCTGCTTTACATCAGTCCCTTGCATAGATAAAATCAGATCTTCACATCTGCCATTGTTGGAAATCTTCTCCCCATTCCCAATTTGGACTTTGTATCCTGAAACAATGGTATGAGGCAGTTTCAAAAGCTCTACCAGATCTTGTGATATGAAATTGTGAGTGGTCCCACTATCAATCAAAACTTCCACTTCCTTTTCACCCTTGCTCCAACTTAGACATCCTTGAACCTTAAAAGCTCTCATAGAAGGAATACCTTCCTTACTCATGAGAGACAGTTGCATAGATTTAGATTCCATAACCTGCTCTTCTTCTTCTGAAATTTCAGTCCCAATTCCTTCTTCTTCCTCCTCTTTATCTGAGTCTTCTACCAGTATTAATTTGTAGTTTTTTAGTTTACAAGTGTGTTCTTTGTTCCACTTCTCTCCACACTTGAAACACAGGCCTTTTCTGCTCCTTTCCTGATACTCATCCTGAGACAACTGAGGACCCACTCTTCTGATACCTGAGGGATGAATCTCTGTAACTCTGGTCCCCCTTGAATTGAACCATGGCTGGTTAGCCTTACTCTCTGCCCCATTCTTCTCAGTACTATGAGGTCCAGTATTGCTGAATTTGGACTTGTACCCCTCAGTCCAGACTTGTGATCTCACTGCTGCAGGCCCCTTCTCTTTCCCCAGTACCCGGTCTTCCTCCTTTCTCTTGTGATATATAGCTTCATTCCTACTCTCAATTAGTAGGGCTCTGTCCATAATTTCACCCAAGGCTGTGGAATTATGTAGTTTAAGTTCAGCTTTTATTTCCTCCTTCAACCCATTAAGGAAAATTCCTTTTAGGATCTCCATATCCACATTGATTTGAGGAGCTATCACCATCTCAAACTCATCTCTAAACTCCTTAACAGTTCCAGTTTGCTTCAAACTAAGCATGGGTCCATAAGGGTTCTGAATCAAATCTGATTGAAACCTCCGAATCATAGAAGCCTTCAGATTCTCCCAATTTTTTCTTTCCGTTTGATGTTCCCACCAAATGAACCAGTTCACAGCCCTACCTTCCATCGCAACTAATGCAGCTTCCACCTGTTCTTCTTCATTAATATGATTCAATCGAAAATATCTCTCCATCCTCACAATCCAGTTATACGCACCTTCCCCATTAAAAACCGGTAAATCAATTTTTCTGCCTGTGTATACTGGAAATCTATGAATCTCCTCGGTCCTTCTGTGATTTTGAATATAAGAGTGGTCTGGATTACCTCCTGAATTCGCAGGGCTGTAAGATCGTCGCGTGTGAACTCGGACTTGCGATCGCGATCTCTCTCTGGATCGCAGCTGATCAGTCAACGCGGCTATGGATGCCGCCATGTTTGCCGCCAAATCATCCAATGCAACACGTTGATCAGCAACCACTGATCGTACTCCTTCCTGTACCTCCAACAGTGTTCCCTGTATCTCAGCGATGTTCCTCTCCACAGTTTCTACGCGAAACTCCATTTTGGCTCTCGTCCGTACCATCCACCACCGTACGTAATATTTGCTGAAGATCGCGGACACTTCCGATCACCAGGAACGAGTGCTCTGATACCAGTGTTAGATCACATATAGATCACAGATAGTTTCAAGTAGAAAAGTAAGAATGCAATGACAAGGTAGAAGATCGGATAGGAAGGTTTATTCTCCAACTGAACAGCTCACGGGGATACAATGTTCAGGGACTATTCGAGATGTCCAATCTCCAAAAGCCAAGTTCACAATCAAATAACAGCCTACTGACAATCACTTCTATTATTCTATTTATAGTAAAATTATCCACGCAGGGATAAAGTAACCTTTACTAGTTACTTAGTTAATTAACTAACTATCTTCCGGCTCCTCCTTTTATATACTTTATTAAAGTACTGAGTGGGCTGCTGAGCTGTGTGTCTATCACAGAGGCGTTGACATGTGCGTTGTTACGGGCTATCCACATGAGCTGGAAGGTCTTGCGTTAGGCAGCTGCAACCGTGTTGGCTTTATTCCCATTTACTATCTGAGACTGGAATTATGTGGCGGTTTCACATCTATCTTTTCTTAACGTACACCAGCCCATTCAACCATCTTTAGAACTTCAAGAAAAGTAGCGGGTTAAGCCCTTACGTTTGTCAGTTTTATCACGAATGGTGCAGACACTCTAATATCAACTTTCACATCGCTTGTTGGGATAAAAATAGGAGCAATCAACATGGGGGAGAAGCAGTCGGATGATGTTACTTGTAACATTATCTCGAAATTCTTCAGTTGATTTCGCACGCAACATTATGCTCAAGTATATATGATTTTGTATAAGTTGTCTAAAAAATCTTATAGTCTTATTATGTTAACTTTTGAAGGTCTATTATGGTAATAAATACGGAGTAAGAATTTTATCAATTTAGGACTTGAAAGATAGATGAATTATCAATCCAGGACACAAAACATGGAATTATCGATATAGGACCCGAATGATGGAAAAATATCAATCTAGGACCTAACATTTCATAAGTTTTGATTTATTTATTTTTTTATTAATTCCATTGCCAATTTTTGATAAACTTTCTTTACAAAAGTTTATTAGTTTGATAAAACAAAATAATATTTAAATTTTTAAAATAAAAAAATTAATAAAATTCATGACAACTTAAGTCCTAGAATGATAGTTTCCAATCATTCACGTCCTAAACCGATAGTTTTCCATTATTCGGATCCTATATCGATTCATTTCATTTTTCAGTTCCCTGATTGATAATTCGTCTATCTTTCAGGTCTTGGATCGATAAAATTCCTAATAAATATATGGCCGTGTATAGAAAACAAATGTACTACTCACTGATCTAAGCTTGTACCAAAAGAAATCGTGTAACATGTGTTGCAACATCAGAGGACAGTTCACCACAGGTGCGATGAAGTTTTTTGATGAAATTTTGTGAGCATGTTTTTCGTGAAATATAGATTATGCCCTCAAATTTTCATAAAAAAATCAATAAGACAATTAGTTAAATAAACTATTGAAAAGCACTGCGCTTTTTACCCACCTCTATGGATGAGCTATGGGAAAATATTCCAAATAGTGAATGCACCAAGCTTTGCCCTAACGATTAGAGTCATCTAACACATCATATCACCTTACTTACCTTTGACGACTCAATGTGTATCTTGTTTCAGGTACAAATATGATTTTCCTTTTCTTGAAACCAGTGGTGCTTTAAGTGTGGATGACAACCGTGTTGGGCCACTCTACAAGCATGTTTTTCCACCGTCCTTTGCTCCTGGGCTTTCATTTGTCGGAATTCCATGGAAGGTTCGTTCTTTCATTTGGTTTGGAATGACAATATGAACATACACATTGAATTTATTCCAATATCGACTACCACATAATGATAGTAATCATTTCAACATATTGTTGATGCATTTAAGGCACTCTCAAGGTGAACACAATTTTAAAAGCTTAGTTTATTAAACAATCGATCGCCCCTTCAAACATGCCTCAAAATTAGATGCTTATACAACAACATTATCCCAATACTGCAAAGGCTCTCACCTACGATGGGGTAAGGGGGTCCGATGTACGCAGCCTTACCCATGTATTAAAGCACAGAGAAACTGTTTTCGAATGACCCATGATGGAAATCGTGTCGAAAATTGTATGGGCTGACGGCTGCTTTATAACAAAAAAGCTCGGACAGTTTAGTGAACCATTTTACTTTATTCTGTCATATTCCCAAAACAAAAATAATGAGTTTTTGGCTCCCTTGGAAATGATGATGCGAGTATATGTAACACTTAGAAGCCATCATTGTTGCTAACAATCATAGCGTCCCTAGTAACTTCAGAGGTTACTCATGGGTTTCCTGCAACCCAAAGCAGATTCCTGATGCGTTTCGAAAAGGGGGAACTCATACAATTAAATGTGCATTTGGAAATAAATGTGACTTAACTAATTAGAAAGTGGAACTACTAAACTTTGTAAGCTTAACATGTTTGGTCTTCTCCCGGTTTAATAAAAAACATTTCCGTTCTTTTGATTTAAAAGATGTCATTTCCTATTTCAGCCCCAAATTGCAAATCCCCACCCACCCTTATTAATTGTTCAGATACTTGATATGACAGAATTCATGATTGTTTGTGCTTTGGAAAAGTGATTTATTTGAGCAGAGAAAGACTTCAATAGTAAATGTTGGCGATGTTTTAAAATAGAAGTGATTTCATTTTAAAAGTAAAAGTTGGAGTTATTGGTAAAAAATGATTTGTGATAATACAAAAAAAGACCCATTTTTTGGCATATTATGACTTGCCTTGCCATAAAAGGTAATCTTTGGGTGTATATATAGGCCCGTTTGAGGGGCTTTTAGGTCAATTTTTTTATAAAAAATTGTGAGCATGTTCTTCATGAAGTGTAGTGTCCATAAGATTTCAAATTAAAATTCAATCCGCTAGTTAGTTAAATAAATTATTGAAAAACAATGCGCTTTGTTCTCCAATAATTTATATAACTGACTTCCCGATTGAATTTTAATATGAAATTTTGTGGACATAATCTACACTTCATGAAGAACATGCTCACAAAATTTCATTAAAAAATTCGACCCGGAATCCCTTCAAATGGGCTTGGCAGTATGGGAAATTTTGTCAGACGTGCCTGACCAATATATATATATATATATATATATATATATATATATATTGGTCAGGCACGTCTGACAAAATTTCCCATACTGCCAAGCCCAACGAATTTGGGTCTCTTTCGGTTGAGGTGCTTCCACAACGAATTTTTTGATGAAATTTTGTGAGCGTGTTCTCCAGTAAGTGTATACTATGTCTACCAAATTTCAGCTTAAAATTTAATAGGGAAGTCACTCTTTTCATCTTATCTTTGTCAGCTATGTGCTCTTTTGATAGGACACTAGTATAATTCAATTAAGAACAGTAGAAAATCAGGAAGAATTGATGAAGTAGATGATCAAGAAGCTTTATTGATGAGAGATGTGATTCGTTGGTTACAGAAGGAATACAGTGGACCATTCGAGATGCCCAATCTCCTAGCCTAGCCAAATTCAACTGAATACTTGCCTACCTCTTTTGCCTCCCCTCCCCTTCTATTTATACTACATATACATCTATTATTATCATCTACATGTACACTTATTATTATTATTTCAATTATTAACCTAATAGGCCCAATTCCTATCAATACTCCCCCCAAACAACCACCTTGTCCTCAAGGTGGGTGATAGGGAATGACCATGATCTTCCACTTCAACTTCATTCTTGCACCTCTCCCTTCCCAGTACTTGACTGATTGCTGGACTAAGATCTTCCATACTTGAATCTTCCCTCCTTACTTCTTCTATCAAGAGCCTCAATAGATCCCCTATCTTGAGAGCATCAGTACCACTCGGGTGGCTGTGTTCATGCTGGAATTGAGTGTTACCAATCTGCCCAATCACCAACTGCTCAATCTTCCAATTGCTAACAATTCTTGCCTCATGGTATGACTCAGCTCTTGGATTTCAGTTGCTCCACTCCTTGAAGGTGTAGTATCTGACATGAAGCATGAAGAACAACAACAGTGGCAGATTCAATTTCAGAGTTATTAAAGGAAGCTTTCCAATAAGAATCCTATAATCCAGAACTGATAGGTGCAAACAATGACATGAATGGTGTAGAACCTGCTGCTGTTTCGAGTATGAATAAAAATGTGACATAAGGAAACTCTGCAAGATACTCTTTGCCATTTTGGCCGCCTGACTCACAAACACCATCATCTTTACCCATCACATGTTTAAAATATTCTGGGTCTTGGTCTATTGCACTAACACACCTTCGAGCTTCATAGGTAAGATTATCTGATTTGCGCGCTTCGGACTCTTCTAGATTATTTGATGAATCAATGTTTTCTGCCTCTTTCAGAATATCATCTTTCGTCTCCAATTGTTGAACTGAAGGTGCAGACGACTTCAACTCAATGTTCGTTTCCAGCTGTGAGCTCCCTGAAGATCCTTTTCCTTTTGTGCCTGGAGTTATGGCTTTTGAAACGGGTGATTCCTTTAGGTAGGTTGAAACTAGCGCATTAGGAAACGCTGATTGGGCTGAAATCTGTGAACCAGTAGAAACCCCTCCTGATTATGATCGATGATGATCGGTTAGCGAGCTGAGAAATGCGGTTCGTGATTTCAAACTGGGAGAAACAGTTCGTGACTGCGGTAAGGAAGACTGAACAGAGAGAACTGGTTCGCATCTGGAAATTGGGAGAAAATGTTGGTGAGGAGACCTGCGAACTGGTAGAAGACAGAAAATGTTCGCGACAAAGAAGATCTTGGCGATCGCGAATCGTGGTTCTCCGTCTTCCGATTGCGTGTAGGTTGGAAATGCCGAGTTATGGCTTCCTCAGAGCCTTCCACTTCTTTTCTCTCGTTTGAGTTTCCCACCATGGAAACCAGGCTAACGCCCTTTCCTCCATCGCACATTCGCACCTACTGCTACTTCGACTTTATCTTTTTCCGCAGTAGCTTTGAGACAGAAATACCCTTCCATCCTAACAATCCAACTAGAGCGAGAGTAATCGGAATTACCTTCGGACGCAGCTGGACTCTCCTATTCTCGTGTTCTTCGATGTTGTGAAGTGTGCGATTTTCCTTTGGTTTGAAGCTGTTCATTTATCGCCGCCATGGATGCAGCGATGTTCTCCATTGCGGATTTCATCTCCAGGAAGCTTCGTTCCATAGATTCCACTCGAGTCTCCATTTTGGTTGTCGTCTAGACCTTCCACAACTGAAACAGAAATTTTCTGGTATGGCGCCTACAGTTCCGGTCACCAGAAACGATTGCTCTGATACCAATGATAGAACACCGGTATAATTTAACTAAGAAAAGTAGAAAATCAGGAAGAATTGATCAAGAAGGTGATCAAGAAGCTTTATTGATGAGAGATGTGATTCGTTGTTTATAGAAGGAATACAGTGGACCAATCTCCTCTTAACTGCGTTTTATATGTTTAATTTGGCGCAGTCATCTTTTAAAAATTGTTTGACTGCGTTACCGATCGAAGTTTTAGCTGATTTTTTTTGGACAAACTAGACTTCATGAGGAACATTCCCAAAAAATTTCATCAAAAAATTTGAGAACATGATGGTGCCTTGGGTTTCATTGCTTATTTCAGAGGCATTCAAGTAAAGGAGAAAAGATCATAAAGATAAACACTATAATAAAAAATAATTATTTCGCTTCTAACCAAAAAAATTGTCCCGTTTCAACTAAATATTTCAAAACTGATCATAGCAACATACTGATTTTGTACCCAACTACATGTTGAATTTTTAACTATGATTGTAATGTGGTTGTGTGTGTTAAACCTGGATCCTTTTTATAGTTCAGCAGGAACCCCTTTTAACTATTAAGTGATAGTACTACAAATGAGATGGAGTGGAATTTTATTTCATTTCAGGCGTTTTTCATACTGTTTACTTTTGACAAGTGGAAGTGAACTTTATGAATACATGTTGCTACTCCAAACTAAAATTTCTAAATCTTGAAGTATGAATCAATACTTCTTCAAGTATTTTAGACTCTGATCTTTTGTGGGAATCATGAATCTTTCTAGTGCGTAGTAAACGTTGAAAAGACTGAGGAATATATGGAATAATAACAGAATGCAATTGGTGTGGCTATATTATGCAAAAACAAGGCAGGCGACAGCGCACAACAATAACGGGGGCAGTAACTCATAATTGAGGGCAGTAACTCATAATTAAATCAAAGTAGTTAATAACTAAACAAAATGAAAAGTTCCTGCTAGAATTGGAGTGAAGAAAACAGCGGCAGGACGGTTGCACAAATAACGGTGAATAAATGAAGATTGTCACCCTGCTATTTTAATATCAGAGATATGGATGGGACTGATAGATTGTATAAGCCGGTACAATGAAGGAAACGGTACAATCAATGAAACATACTGCACAACCATATTTTACTGTGGTGTTACACCAACATTTTAAGATGCAAAATTAGCCTTACCCAGTTGCCCTCATTCGTTCTTATATGATCTTAAAGATGTATGTATGTATGTATGTATGTATATAGCTCGTGCTCTAATGCTTCCAGGTTGCGCCGTTTATATTGTTTGAGTTGCAAAGCAAGTGGATTGCTAAGGTCCTATCGGGTCGTGTTTGTCTTCCATTAGAGGAGGAAATGATGGCTGACATTGAAGCCTTCTACTTGAGTATGGAAAGCCGTGGTCTACCAAAAAGATATACCCATCAACTCGGGGAGCATCAGGTATTCTCTTAGTGTGCCAAACATTTCATCATTCATTTATGTAAAAACTAAACTTAAAGAATGATAAGGATGTACAGTAATACAGAAGATTATAGAAGAAGATTCAAGAAAACTAACTGCAATTTTATTAGAGAAGAAGAACAGTAATCGTAACAAATGGCCGAAGCCCCCAGTTGAGCCGAAGCCCCTCAAAAGAAAGAGAATAGCTCTCAGTCTTCCCAAGTCCCAGAATGATAAAGTCTAAACAGCCTACTAAATCTCCCTTGCTCTCTTCTATTTATACTAAACTTATACACTTTATTCTTATTAATACTCTAATAGGCCCGGTCCTTTATTCTTAGTATCTATAGGCCCGGTCCCTAACAATACTCCCCCCTTAAACATCCACCTTGCCCTCAAGGTGGGTGATAGGACACAACCACCAATTTCTTCTTTTCTTTCATCCTAGCACCCCTCCCTCTCCAATACAGATTTGTCTTCTGGATCTTTTGCTTTACTACTTCCATCTTCCACTCTATGTAATTCATAACATAGTTCCACAGAGGCCAGAAAATTTGATCCAAAACTTTGATTCCTGCAGATTTTTGGAAGACCCAGGTGCGGCCTGCTGCAATATAGGGGACAACTATTTCATGCTTTTGAACAGTATGAACACTTCTTCCTTCAACATCCTGTTCACTTGATGATTCATCTCCTTGTAAAATCACCTTCTGCCCTTGTACTTCCCATTTGAAGGTCTGACTTTGGAAGTAAATCTCCGTGTCTCCCAATCTTGTTAGCCAGTCCATTCCCAAGACTAAATCCGTGCTCCCCAGCTCCAATAAGTAATAAGTTTGGTGAATACTAATTCCTTGCACATTCAGATCTACATCTGCACACCTGCCACAGATTTGAATACATTCTCCATTCCCTAACTGCACCCTATTTCCCTGAAAAGGAGTATAAGGAATCCTCCACTTTTCCACCAAGCTTAGTGACATAAAATTGTGTGTAGCACCTCCATCAATGAGTACATTTACTGTGTTTTCACCTTCATGCCATCTCAGTTTACCTGTCACCTTAAATGTTTTCACAGGGGTTATGTCTATCTCATCACTTAAAGAAAACTGCATGGTCTTCAATTCTAGAGGTGTGGTCTTATCCCTGCCAGATTCCAGTAATTCAACTTCAGAATCAGCTTCACCCTCTGAATTCCCCACTAGGATCATTTTATAGTTCCTCATCTTGCAGACATGTCCTCTTCCCCAGTTTTCACCACATTTAAAACAGAGTCCTTTCTTGCTTCTGTTTAATAGTTCTTCTTGGGATAGTCTGGGACTTGCCTCATTAGATACGCAGCTTGGACCTTCTTTCCTGCTTTCATCTCCCCATTTCTGGCCTGAAGATTGGATGATAGGAGTAGTCTGCCATTTCCTCCTTCCTTCATCCTTATTTTTCACAAAGAAAGTTTCAGAATTCTTGTTCTCAATCGCGGATGCAGTATCCATAACTTCTGCCAACGTCCTAGTTCGATGTAACTTCAATTCTGCTCTTATATCTCTTTTCAACCCCTTAAGAAAGGCTCCTCTCAAGACTTCTTCAGTTAAGTGGCCTTGTGAAGCGATAGCCTTTTCAAATTTATTTCGGTATTCCTGAATTGTCCCCTTCTGCTTCAGGCTAAACAGAGGCCCTAGTGGATCCTGTACCATATCAGGTTGAAATCGCTTGGTCAAAGCTTGAGTAAAAGAGTCCCAGTTTTGATGCGTAGCCTGTCTCTCCCACCATTGAAACCAGCTGAGAGCTTGGTCCTCCATGGCCACTACAGCGACATCAATTTTCTGTTCCTCTTCAGTTTGATTCAAGCGAAAATATCGGTTCATTCTAACCAACCATCCAGAAGCATCTTCTCCATTAAAAATAGGTAAGTCGATCTTTTTACCTGTATGATGAGGATGACGTTCCCTGTGATGATGGCGGTGTTGATGTCGACGTGGAGGAGAATAGTTGGAATTGTTTTCCGATCCCTCTGAACTTGCCGATTGTCGCGAACGATGATGGTTAGGTGATCGATGATGGTGAGAAGTGTGATGCGATGTAGATGTGTGATGCGAGGCAGATGATCGATGCGACGCAGATGATCGATGCGACCTACTTCTTGATCGATCCGTTTTTTGATTTTTCAACTCGGAAAATCCAGCTTGCATCATCGCCAGCAATTCTTCGTACTTCGTATCGATCTTCGCACCTAATTCCCGTTGACCTCGCTCGACGTTCCGTTCCATTTCTGCCATCCTGCCTTCCATTTTCTTCCTCGTGCCAACCATTCACAACTACAACCAGTCTATGATACCAATGATAATGATGTACAGTAATACAGAAGATTATAGAAGAAGATTCAAGAAAACTAACTGCAATTTTATTAGAGAAGAAGAACAGTAATCGTAACAAATGGCCGAAGCCCCTCAAAAGAAAGAGAATAGCTCTCAGTCTTCCCAAGTCCCAGAATGATAAAGTCTAAACAGCCTACTAAATCTCCCTTGCTCTCTTCTATTTATACTAAACTTATACACTTTATTCTTATTAATACTCTAATAGGCCCGGTCCTTTATTCTTAGTATCTATAGGCCCGGTCCCTAACAATCCCGTTTGGTTGGTTTATACTCAGATAGCCAGCTTTTTCATCAAAGGCTAATTTATTTCATTGCTCTTGGGAATCATTTGAAATAGAAAATGAGCAAGGAACGAGTCACCTTTTATGGCTGAAGTTGCTAAACAAACTTAAATTGGCAATTAAGTCTATATTTTTAGATATTATTCCTTTAGTTTATTAAAAAAGAATAGTTACCGAATTAAGACTTACCAAACAGGTGAAAATCTAGCTCATTTACACAGGGTGCTTTTTTATATCTTAGCCGTGCATTACAAAAGCCTATATCTTTTTGTCATCTTATCTTCTTCGTTTGTGGTTGAGAAAATTGCTTTTTGTCAACAGTTTGAGTATGATGACTGGTTAGCTGCAGAGTGTGATTTTCCAGCGATAGAAGAATGGAGAAAAGAAATGTACGCGGTGACTAGCCAAAGAAGAAGGGAACAACCTGAAACATACCGTGACGAATGGGACGATGAACACTTAATTTTACAGGCACATCAAGACTTCCATAGATATCTTTCTTCCTGAGGCTCAATAACTAAAAAAATATGTAGGGAAATGGACAGTTTTGGTCCCTCGATTGTTTGTGTTTAGCCACTTTAGTCTCATAACCAGTAACTTTACGTCTTTACTCATACGGTTTGTGCGTAAATAATGTCTTTGAATGGATCAATTCCATTTCAAGAATACTGTGATTTGCACGCTTATTATATATACTCATCAACAATGCATAATCTATATTGCTGAAATAAGTTTTATCAATAAGTTTTACAAGGCGTCCAAGTCCATTGTTTTTGGACGATAGTTGAGTTGAATGGAGACGCTTATTACAAGGCATCCAAGTCCATTGTGTTGCAGACTTGTAGCTCAGTGAAGTAAGAACCGTTGAAGCTCTATACAAACAATACGGAACTGGATCCTCCTCTGTTATACACCGCCACTATAGAAGTGGAATGTCAAGGTTTGTGAATTACACAACTGCTTGATATCTGATAGGACGGTTTTTAACTCCCTGCCTGACATTGAACGTTAATCTTGTGAGACCGGAACTCAAACTTTCGAGCTAGGTTTGGTTGCGGTAAAAATGTGGGCAAAGGACACACGCACGCACTGTGATTCTCTCATGCTTCTTCTGAAATACATTCATTCATTACTAACCAGTAACCACATCTTTAAACGAGGCACAAGTATATAACAAGAGAAGAGAAGAAAGTTGTTTTACAAGAAGGGCCGCTGGTGAGACTTGAAATAAAAAGCATCACATCTCCGATATGAAGAAGAAAACGTGGCACAAAAATTGAAAAAAAGAAAGAATCATTGGGCTGCCAAAGCTATTGAAGTTTAGACTTGATTCGGCTAAGGGTTCCTTGAATTGCAATATCAATGGCATCCATCTTGGTCCTCAACCCCAAAGAACTGCCGTGCTTTCTGTACATCACCCTCTCCATCACCTCTATCACCTTTTCTCTCATCCTCCTCACTTCCCCTCTTCCCATCCTCATCAACACCTCCACCACCCTCACCCCATTGTACACCACTTCCTCTTTCGGTATGAACACCGAAAACTCATCGTACTCTGCCTCTGGCAAATGCCACCTGTACTGCCGTCTGGCCGTCATTTCATCAAAGAAGACCGGGATACACCCCGCAAGGATCCCGTCAAACGTCGACCGCCGCGTCGGCGTGTCCCCCGGAGGTTGCAGGCAGAAGGTAGCAGAAAGCATCGGTTTCATGAATTTGATCGGGTCATGCTCGCAGACCCCGTTTGAGCAATCCACAAACTCACACAGTTTTTCATACCCTAACAACGCAGCCACATTGGTGCTGTTGTCGCATTCCAGCCGGATGCTGCGCCGGATGTTGGGATTTGCTGAGATCCCCCCTCCGCCGGCGAATAACATCAGTGTGCTTCTCCTTGATCTTCTCACTCTGCTCACCCAGGACTGGTAGAACGCTAAATTTGGTGGATGGAAGGATGTGGGGTATGGGAGTGCTACTTCTTGCCATGGGTAGGCTCTGGATTCAAGTGTGAGCGCGGTCACATTGTAGAACTCCGGCAGTTCAAGGAACGAGGTTCCGAAGATGGGAGGGTCGTTGGTCACGGGTTGGGTGAAATCCCACGCGGGCCGGGCCATCACCACAAAGTGATCGTGACCCAGATTTCGATTCCATATGGAGATGGCATCTTTTCGGGATATGTAGTCGTACAAATCCAGGCCGTGGCGGAAGCTGGAGTTCACCTCCGGGCCGTAGAGGTAGCGGAGGGCGTCGATTCCACCGTAGTAAGGGAGGTATATGGCGGAGGCGAGGTCGGGGTCGGGGGTGAGGCAGGGGTATTCCAGCATACGGCGGTGGAAGACGAGTTCCAGCATGTATGGGTCGGTGCGGTACCAGCTGTGGGAGGAGTTATGGGTTTTCCGACCGAGCCCGTGGTTCGGCAGGTAGGGGCAGAAGTCGTCAAAGAGAGGGTATTGGGAGCAGTTGGAGAGGAGGTCGAGGTTGAACCGCGGCGGTAGACGGCGTATGTGGATCCATCTGCCGGTGCAGTCATCTTCTAGATCGGAATCCTCGGAACTGGCAGCCGCACCGGGGGCACTTGTGTACACGAGTAGGAGGAGGAGGATAGCGGTGATTAAAGCATTCCGCGGTGGCGCAGGCATGGTGGGTGGTTATACCGAATAACGGAGCAGAACGAGCATAGCGGTGAGCCCCTAATCGGACTTCCTTTCTTTACTCATCTCTATCTTTGCACTACGAATGTACTTTAATTTAAGGAAATAGAATGATGAACTATTAATACGGCATATATAAAGCCCAATGATGGATACCTATCATGAAATTTCTATCAAATCCATTTCTAAAGGGAATTAGATTTATCAAGAAATTTATATTCTTTTTTAACATCTTTAAATATAATTACCTCCATCCCGATGGACTTTGTCAAGTGCAAAGTAAGTGAGAAATAAGAAGAGTAAAAACTGTATGATTGATATTTGTGTTGAGCAAAAAGAATTGTGCAGAAAAAGCAAATTATTTACTTTAATTGGAAAGTGTCAAGTTTTTTTGGACTAGGGAAAGTTGACAAAGTCCAATAGAACGGGGTATTTGATAAATCAAAATTTATGATATTTTAGATCACTAATTGATAGGTTTCAATAATTCGATCCTTATATTGACACATTCATCTTTCAGGTCTCAATTGATAGTTCATTTATCTTTCAGGTTTCGTATTGATAATTTTTTTTAGTTATATAATTTTACATTAATAAATGTAGTAAAAGAACTACCGAGTATTAGGAACCAAGCATTCCAGACCAGCTGGTTGCGAGGTTATCGTGCCTAGTGAGAGGTCTCGAGCTCGAAACCCGCTACAGACATAAAAAGTTTGAAACTCAATGGGCTGAGTTTCAGCCCTGATTACTCTAGACCCCCCAGCCCCCCTCCCCCCGACCCCCTTGGAGTAAAAAAAAAAAAATACGGAGTATTAGGAAATTTTTACTTGAAATAATTTTGTCCCAGACCAAAATAGATCGGAGCAGACTTAAGTAGATCAGATAGATTTTGCCAATGCCAGACATCTATTAGACAAGATCAGACCTAACTTAAACATACCGAAATAGAATTAAAATCAACCTTATAAAAAGCATTATAAGATTATTTCCATACAAAAAAGTTAAAAAGTAATTTTCCCTAAATTTATTAAAATCAGATTTCATATTTCAATTGTAAAAATTAAACGTGAAATTTAATTTGTTGTATGTAAATAAGAACATAAATGATACCTAATTTACAAATCACATAGTCATAATAACTTCGGCGTTAAACCAATTTTTTAATGTGATTATTATTATTATTATTATTATTATTATTATTTTCTTTTTAAAATTTAACACATTTACTCTATAAAGGTAAAATTTAAGAATGACATATAGTTAATTTTATTTTTAAACTTGTTTAATATTTTATTCTTATTTTAAATTATTTTTAAGTAAAAGTAGGATGGTGAAGTGGAACTTCAACATTTTAGGGTTCAATAAATGAATAAAAATTGCTCAATATAGGATTAAACTTACACAAAAATCGGGAATAGGACTAAATATGTTTTATTTGTCAAATAGGCTATATTTAGTCTATTAAAAGAATAGTTAATTAAATTTTTTAAAAATAAGAATAAATGTATCATATTTTGAGAATAAAACAACATTAGTTCTATTTAGGGAAAATGATAGAAATAGGACCAAATCATATCAAGTTTCCAAAATTAGGAGTAAAAGTTCACGTAGGACATAACAACATAAGCTTTGACAAACAGTTAGCGCCACACGTGCAAAACCTCCAGCTTCTAAACACTAAAACTTTGCGAACGGCAAAAACAACTGCTTCAAACCTTCAACCGCACCTCAACGGAAAATTTCTAGTCGATCTCCAGATCTTCTGACCTTCCAAACCGTTCTCCAGACCTTATTCTTCTTTAGGGGCGCAATTACGAAACGCGACGAAGGAGGCAGTAAGGACGAACAAATGACGAAAAGAAAGAAGAAACTAGAGGTCCAAAAAGTTGAAAACGCGGAACAACTCGAAGAAAAACAATTTGAAAATGATTTCGAAACAAAGAGACATAATAATGACGAATATATTATTCTTTCGTATGGTCAAGTAAGCTGTTCATTTTTTATTCAATTCAATATGCTCGGAAATATTATCTACAAATGAAGAGCATGATAAAAATTATCTAAAAAAGTTGATCCAAATGTGAATAAGTTATTAATAATCATTATATTATATGACTACTTCACTTACATGTTGTAATTGATTGTATGAGTATTTCTCTTACATGTATTTTATTTTATTTTATATAAGGAATGAATAAGAAAAATGGACAGAGGTAACTATGTGAGGGGGGGGGGGGGGGGGGGTATATGACTTAAATTAGTAGGTTGTATACACACATTGTGTTTAATTGGTAGACAGATATCGGTAGATAGTATATACATAAGATAATGTTTATCATATTATTTGTCCACTAATGATTATAATACTTATACACTTATTATTACCAGACAATTGTAAGGTCATGTGCAAACCTTGTTTTTTTTACAAAAAAGAAGTAAAATTGAGTTGTTATTCGAATGTGCATAATGCCATTGAAATCATAAAACGGCCATTAAACGAAGAGCAATTCCAGAAATTTAGAAATACAACATCGGAGGATTGTTAGACATGGGTAATTTAGAATGGATGAATAGACAATTGTTGGTACTAATAGCAGAAAACCATGTGAAGAAGCTTAACAAGAAGATTTGGACAAACGAGATTAATTTCCACATAGGAAATACGATGGTCACTTTTAGAAAGAATCATTTGGCATTAATAACAAGATTTAAGATGGGAGGAGAGAAAATCCGGAGAAGACAATATAGGTGCCATATGAAAAAGATTTTTTTAACGGAAGGAGTGATGTTTCAAGGGCTGAAATAACAAGAGCTTTTGAGGAGTTTAATAAAATACCTGTGCAAATGGAACTCATAGATAGGGTTAAGCCGCCAGTATTTAATTTGATTGCAAATTGTATCATTGAGAACCAGAAGCCAGTGAAATGTCCAACAGTTTACATCAACATTGTAGATGATCTGGATTTAGTGAACCCGTATCCTTGAGGAGATGTAATATGGGGAGATTTATTGGAAAAAGTGTCTAAGTGGATACAAAATATTAAAAAGGCAACAAAAGATAGGTTCACCTTTCTAGGTTTTGTTTTTGCAATGCAAATATGGGCATTTGAAAGCTTCTCAACTCTTAGTAGATGAATGTGGCCAAGACTGCTAAAGTGGTCAATACAAAAAAGACAAATAATGCTACACTAGCAGATGCCATATTTCAGAACGAAGAGGTAAACTTTATTTTATTGTCTACATTATGTGAAATTTGAAGTTATGTTTTATGGTAAATAACTCAACACTGCATTTTTTTCTATTTCATAGAGTTTGAATATCACCCAATGCAACCAACTGAGAAAAAGGCTTTGCTATTCATGGACCCGAAAAGTCAAATTCAGAGAATCAAGATGATTGTGAAGTTCATGGGAAAGACAATGAGCAAAATACCATGTGATGGTGAACACACTGATTGCAACCATAAAGAAGATGTGGGTATGAAGGAACTAAATGGTGAGAGTGCAACAATAAGTGGACTTCACAGATTTTAACATTTGGGGAAGACAAGAAATGGTGTTGGGAACCAAATGAGGGACAAGGTGATTATGCTAATATAATGGCTGCAGTTGTGCTCCGATCCAAGAAGACCCAAAAGCTTGAGGGTAGAATAAAAGCGTTGAAAGATGGAATACAAAGACTTCTTAATGGTCAAAAGGAGCAAACAAATATGCTAAAAGCATTAATGCTTACAAAAACCACATCAAATGGAGAAGCTGAAAACAATAAAAAAGAAATGGGCATGGATAACGATGAAACGTACGAAAGAAGGGTAGAAAAATACGCTTTGGTACCAGACATGCCTAGTTTTTATCTACATCTCGATCAAACACAGAAGGGGAGAAAATATAGTGCAAAAGGGACAAGCTCTAGACAGTGAGGACCATGAAGATAAAGGTCGGGGACACCTTACCTGATTATTAATAAAAAGAAGCAATACATGAAAGGGAGTCTCGTCAAAATCCTTATGTTGTCTTTGTTGCAGAAAATTGTTGGGTGATTCCTTGAGATTCATAAAAATTGGTGACTTGCTGATTCTTAAACTCTGCTCCATTATCTATTCTGGTGATATTCACATTCTGTTGTACGAAGTTCTGTATGATCCGAATGAACGCCATAATTATGTTGGCAGTTTCATCCTTGGAGCGCAAAAAGTTGGTCCATGTGTAGAGTGAGTAGTCAACTACTCACTCTATTCCTTCAACCTGTAAGGAATAAATGTATTTAGATTTTGATGACGCTAGGTTCATTAGAAGTTTAAATTACCCCCTTAGAAATCTTGTATTAGAATTTTCTTTGTAAGTATTAGCATAGTCGACTGGCCAAAGACCCTCTTTGACTTTCTGATCAGAATTGCCATCACAGTTGCCATCAGAGAAACTACCAGAGTTGGGTACCAGAGTTGGCATCGGAGGCGGACATCAGAGTCTCAACTAGAGAGCCTCACCAGACATGCTCATACGTAGCAGAATTCGAAGGCACTTCCAACGGCTGTGAAACTAACGCGAAATACCCTAACGGGTAGGAGCCTCTTCGATGGAACATGGTACTGTACATGCATTAAATGCTCAATTAATGCAGTACGTAAGAAGAGATATTTAAAGCTGATGATTGACCATGTGGATATCCTTTCGCCCCCAAAATAGCAAGTCAAGGACCAACCGGTCAAATCAATAGTACAAGCATTAAATGAAGTTGTCTTCTACACTCCAACGGGAAGACCGCTCCCAGTATATATGATACACTTCGAAGGATTGGAAGTATAACGATTCTACGTCTCTCTAAGTAAAAATATTCAAACGCACAAAGACTTCAACCTCTATTCATCTCGAGCAACATTTAACGTTGGAAAAGATTATAAACTTCATATCTCTTCTTTCCAACGTGAGAGAATCGTTCCTCCAGTTCTTCAACACTTCTAAAGCCTCAACTACATATTATTTTGTGACGAAACTACGTTGGAGAAAATAGATTTTAAATCAAACACTTCTTGAAAAAGAAGGAACGTCTCAAACTAACTGGAGTGAGTGAAGTGGGGATACTTCAAGAGACTCAGTGAAATGAGACCAGCCATCAGGAAGCAAGGACTGCATCCCGGGTGACAACTAGACTTAAAGAAGACGTGGAGTGCTTCTTAAGCTCTAGGAACTAAGGCGTTGTAAACTGTGGTTTTTGCAAGCTTAGTGGAACAGTGGACTAGAGGAACATGGTTCCTTGAACCACTATAAAAACTTCGGTGTCATTTACTTCACGCAATTACTTTCTGCACTTAAGATACTAATTGTTTAACTCCCAAGAACTTGGCCTCTGTGCTCAGCAGATCTCGTTCTAAGAGTTATCAGAAAGGCATTTGCCTTAGTGTTTTTCCTGGGGCTATCCGGACAGAACCCAATCCGCTGCCAAGTCTAGTTCTGTCATCAGAACTCGACCTTCTCTGTCACCAGAACCTGACCTTCTCTGATAAGTCAGTGTTGACTTAGAGAAAAGTCTGAAAATACTGAACAGTCTATTCCCCTTCCCCTGTAGACTGTTCCTAGTACAAACGGGGCCAACAAGTGGTATCAGAGCCTCCTTGTTCTTGAAATCTTTTAGGTTACTTGCTGAACAGAGATCCATTTTTTTCTTAGCCTCTGCTTAATCTCTTATTATGGATAACACTCTTTCAAAGAACTTGATGTTTTCAGTTACAAAGTTTGATGACTGGAGGATCAGGATGAAAGCACATCTCTGTGCCCTGCATGATGAAATGTGGGAAGTCCTTGACGCTGGCCCCTTCACTCAGTTCAAAAAGGTGAACCCAGAATACCTAGCTGGTGGTGATCAACCTCAGATGATCATCAAAGGCTGCCATGAGTGGTCAACTGAAGAAAGGAGGAAGTACAACCTTGACAGCAGAGCCAAGGATATCCTCTACAAAGCCATAGATGACAAGTACTTCACCAAAATCAAGAAGTGCAAATCTGTTAAGGAGATCTGGGACACACTCACCCTCATTGGAGCTAGTGATGAGCAAGAGAAGGATAACAAACTGACTATTGCTATGAAGAAGTTTGAGGATTTCAAACTTCTCCCCAAAGAGTGCATAGCTGAGATGTATGCACGCCTGCTCACCCTTACTGCTGAGATCTCAGAGCTTGGGAAGGAACTGACTCCCAAAGAGATCAACTTGAAGGTTCTCAGAGGTCTACCTTCTCCCTGGAAGATGAAGGTCACAGCTATGCGAGATAGCAAAGATCTCAGGACCTACAGCACAGAAAAGCTCATCTTAGATCTCAAGTCTTATGAGTTTGAGATGAATGAAGAAGAGAAAGAAGAAGAAGTTGAGGACAAAACTACCACTGCCCTCACTGCCAGCACCTCTAAGGTAAATAATTTTGACCCTTCCATTCTTTTAACTGACGAATATATGGCCCCTTTTGCCAAAAAGTTCAGTAAATTCATGAAGCCCAAAGATGGCAGAAGTCCATCCTCTAGCAGAAAGCCACACCAGAAGACCAAGTCTTCAGAAAACAGTGGAGAGCTTCTCTGTTACAACTGCAGACAACCAGGGCATTGCAAGGCCAACTGTCCACACCCTCTAGTGTCCAAGAGACAAGGCCAGGAAGGAGAAAAGAAGTATGAGCACAGAAGAAGAAAAGCACTCATTACTGAGCAACCAGAGAAGGACCCCCTTTCTGAGACAGATTCCAGCTCAGAATTAGAATCAGGTGAGGTATTCTGTTGCCTAGACACAGAGACTGAAGACCTATGCCTTATGGGTCAATCTGATGATGAGGTATCCTCTACCTCTGCTTCTAGTTTTTCTTCGGTAGGCAAAGTTTTTAATTCTGATTCAATGTCAAAATTTTGGGAAGAGTTTCAGGCCATCCAAACCACTTATTCTTTTGCTAAAGAAGAAAACAGTAAGCTGAAAGTTCAGATTCTTGATTTAAGAAAGGAGGTTGAGATCAAAATCAACCTTCTCATTGAAGAAAGAGATCAGCTTGAAGCTGAAAATGTTTCTCTTCTAAAGAGAGTAAGTGAAATTGAGTCATTTGAAATCAAGTACAAACCTACCAGAAGGCCCAATCCTCAATGGAAAGGTTACTACTTGACCAACAAATTGACGTTGGTTTTGGTCTTGGTTATGGCTCAACAGAATCAGGTGAGCTTTTGGTAATGCTTAGCACCAGAGTTGCTCAAGCAGATAAGATCATAGAGCCACTGATGTCTAGCCCCATCTGCCAAGCTAGTGTATCTGGTACCAAGGTGGTTCATGAAAAAGTCAGACCAGAAAAACAAAAGATATAGGTGCAACCCAAACAAGTTTTAAGAAATAATGAACCTGGCAGAAAACCTAACAACGGAAAAGGTTTTCAAGATAACAGAAATCAAAGACAGAACTCGTCCAGACACTCTCGGGTTATTGATCGATTACCACCCTCGGCCTCGAGCCGCTTATCAATAAAAGTTGTATTCTACTTGCTTTTTTCTAAAAAGTTAAAGGAAAAGATACTATATTACATCAACCCCTTAGAGCGAGACGCTCAGGAAAGGCCGACACAGCACATCGTTTCGACCCCTTAGAGTGAGACGCTCAGGTAAGGCCGACGATGTCCCCAGGATGATGGGCCCGCAAACGGCCCGCGTCTTGAAATGGGAAGCTCACCGCGTCATCCACTCGCAAAATCGCAAGACGACAGGTCTGAAATCATGGCTGAGGTGACAAAAATCCCCAAACTCAGGGATGAGGAACGACAACCATCGGTAACCGACCAAAAGCCTTAGCCCGCGTCATAAATAGATGACGGGACCTCCCTGAGATCACGGGACGATCCAGTAGGACTCCCTACCAGCTGAGGGATTATCGACCCCCTCGGCCGAAGCCTGAAAAAAAGGATACCCACTCCTCTCTCAAAGAAGTAAAGAGGAAGAATATAAAAGAGGGACAGCCGAAGGTCTGTGCACTCGCCGGCCTAAAGCGAAATCCCCAAAAATAAAAGAGGGACAACCGAAGGACCGTGCACTCGCCGGCCTAAAGCGAATCCCCAAAAATAAAAGAGGGACAGTCGAAGGACCGTGCACTCGCCGGCCTAAAGCGAAATCCCCAAAAATAAAAGAGGGAAGCCGATGGACCGTGCACTCGCCGGCCTCGAACAATAAAAATCAAATCCCCAAAATTGACTAAGTACATATCAGTTAAACAATAAAGGACATGCAGTGTGGACGAAGCATTCATGCACAAGCTACCAAAAAAAACTTGGACAAAAGTTCCAAGGCAAACTCTTTTGGCCGATGAGGGTACGCGATAGCCGGCAGGAAATCAAGTGGTTCGTGGGAAGCTCCCTCAGCCGACAAAAGGGCGAAACCTTTCATCGGCCACTCCCAAAGGAAGTAACTACCTAGGAGACAACCGTCCGGCTTACTCTCAATCCGCCTCAAAGGAGACAACTGGAAGACATCCTAGGACGTCCGGAAATGATTCGCTGGAAGCCACAACGATCCCTGAGTCGGGCCCTCCCATTGGCAAGTCTGCGATCGACTTACAGGCTGTCGAGGAGACACTATTACCTGCTATTAACCCACCCTTCACATGGGCAGACCTGATTAGGTTTGAAATGGACAAAAATTGTGAACTGGTAGCTTCAACACTTCCAAACGCCGGACAGGCCTCTTCACATACGAATAATCCAAATCGCCAGGTCATAGTCAAGCAACCCAGGATCCCATTCGAAACCCAGCAACCCCAGTCAGAGTTATTACCTTCGGAAAAATACCTCTTCTTTGGTGAAGATGGTTTCGATTCTATTAGAATTGGGGCTAAATCGTTTAAGTTTGCTGTTAGAAACAATGATATTGTTATTTTGGAAATTAAAAAATCATCTCTCCACAGGATTAACTTCAAAAAAGAGCAAGCGCCCGAGATATTCAGATTTATAAACCGTCTCTCCCGATCAGATAATTTT